TTTAACCACTGTGAACAAACCTGTTGTGTACTAAACAAATATAAATCATTATAAACATGCTTAGCTTAGTATTTAAACAATACAAATTTCATATACTTGGACTTTGTGTCCTATAGACATTGTTGAATTTAATTAACACCATATAAGTAAATCTTGTATATCAAAGTAACAGTATTTTATGTTATGCCTATCATAATACTATGAATCACAAAATATATATCATTTTTATAATGTCAAACTGCAGCAGTTTATAAACTCACGTTAATAAAACTAAAACATTAACTTATATAAAGTGAAGTTTACTTTTGTCGTATAGAATGCATGGAATCTACGTAAAACCCTTAGTGTATCTATACAGTGTAACAAGTATAACAACTGCTATCTGTAGCTAACAATTTCGTGTGATAAAGATTTATATAATATCTTTTCTGAATATATATACATTAATATGTGTGTAATACTATAAAATGTTGCCCATGTAATCTGCACAGACCATATTTCGAACCTGTTCTGTTCGTTACATGCAAAATATGTACTAGTAAAGGTACTAAAAAAAATTCGTGGCCATGAATTTTATTTCGTGGCCATGAATTTTATTTTTTGGCCAAGAGTTAATTTAAAAAAAAAATCTTAAATACTATATATGTCCTTTACCAGCCGCCGTGGATCTCACAGTGTATAAATGTTAGTACATGTAAAATGACACCTTCTAAGACATGTACGGGTGTGAAGAAGGGTGTCTGTTAATCGCTTCCATAAAGTGAGTAGTTTGGATTCAATGTTTAATTCGTCAAATAAGTGTTACAGTATTCTGATTTCGCCGTGTCTAAAAAAAAGAGGCCCAAGGGCTTTAACGGTCACCTGGGTAATACAACAGTTTAGAGGATCCATAGAGTATAAAATAAATTGATATAGATGAAGCCTTGTTCCAAAAAGCAAGAGAAATAGGATGGTCAGGATCAATGAAATAATTAGTCTAGTATTCAGTAACCACAAATAAATTAAGTTCTAATTTGTCCCCCATTTATCGATATCACCATTCAGACTATTAACAAACTATTAGTGCTTCTGTACTATTTTTAACCCCATATCGTAACCTCTCACATTGGCCTCTCTTGGTCTGTGATGAACAATAATAAGTTATTTTTGTCTCATTTTTATTTATCTGCAATTTACAAGTCTATCTGATCATTCAAACTATAAGAGTACTTTTTGTGTTATACAATAAGAATTCTTGCATAATTCTCTTATTCAATCAACCTTTCTTTACAGTGATTAATTATCAAAAGTTAATGGCAAAGGGGAATAACTTCTCTCAGTAGAATACAAATTAATAGAGCCCTGGCCAAGACCAGAACACTTGACCAAATGGTCCAGATGTTCAAAAATTTTGTAAAAATCCCTTCCTTCTTAAAACTTTTACTCGGTTTGTCTCCGATATGTTTTCTCAACCAGAGAGCTACAGTTCTGCAGCTAGAGGCATCCTTGCTTATCATAACCATGCGCTTATTTAGATAATACCCAGGAAAAGAGAAGATGATTTTCAAAGAATTAATGCATTTTCACTATATAATCAATAGAGCCCCGCCCTAAAACCAGAACCTCGGACCCATGGGCCACGAAATTCACAATTTTGGAAGAGACACCCTAGCTCATCATAACTATGTACTTAGTTAGTCTGTTTAATACCGAGGAGTAGAAAAGAAGATTTTCAAACAATTAATGTATTTTCACTATATAATCAATAGAGTCCCGCCGTAACACCAGAATCCCTGACCCAGGGGCCATGAATTTCACAATGTTGGAAGAGACACCCTTGTTCATCATAACTATGAACTTAGTTAGTTTGTTTAATACCCAGCAGCAGAGAAGAAGATTTTCACAGAAATAAATTCATATAATGCACTTCCGCTAGTCCCGCCCTAGCACCAGAACCCCTGAGCCTGGGGCCATTTCACAATTTTGGTAGAGGCATCAGTGCTTATTACAATCATGACAACAATTCAACTGCTCGATGTCTAGGAGTAAAGAAGAAGATTTTTAAAGATAGCATTAACTTTTATGGTTTTAGCCCCACCCCTCAGCCCCCCCCCCCCGGGGGGGGGCATGGAATTCACAAATTTTGTTCCCCTTTATTCATACATGCTGTATGCAAACATTGGATGAAATATTGGTTCAGTGGTTCCAGAAAAGAAACTGAAAATGTTCAAATGTTTACGGACGATGCACAACGCATGACTACGGACGAAAACAGATAGCGTGACTTAGGTGACCTTAAAAAAACAAACAAACAAAAATACATATACTTGTATCACTTTGTCTCTAAGCAATTAAATCGCTGTGTATTATTGAATATTAAGAATGCTATGAATAACAACAATCAGACTGAACATTGTGTATTAATTTAAAGACCACCCCCCCCATCAGCGACGATTGATACAATGCAGACACGTATAGTATCGTTTTTGAAAGTGGGCAGGAAAAAAATACAACTTACCTGGAAAAAAACTTTTACAAACAAGAAAAAAAATTCCTTTCACAGCCAAATTTTATTAAATTACCATGATTTAATTATGCTACAACGAAAAAAAGGGGGGGGCAGCCTTTCAGTGAAATTTTACAATAGTAAAAGGTTATGTTCTGAAAAAAGTGGGTTGATCCCCCCCCCCACACTTTACGTGCAAAATGCTACAAAATGTGCTCAAATACAAGTAGATTATATTGACTAAACTGTAACGAGATTTTTGGAAATGGTACTAGTATATATTCATTATTGCACTGAAGTTTGAATGTTTTACAAGTACACATAATTTTTACACTTTCAATGTATATGTAAGACACGAGTTTCTATAAAAAAAAATCATTTCTCAGAAGAAATCCTCTTATGTATATTTGATATAGATTGGACCATATTTGACCTCTTTATTATCATTCAAGACCGTTTGAAGTAAATGGGGTCGGCAAGTGGATAACATATTGATATAGTGTGTATTCTGTAGTGAAAGATTCATACCAGATTCAACCATACAAAGAAAAAAAAATGCCCATGTATTGAACAGATGTATATACTGAGGTCAGGATTTGCTAAACACATTGTATACGCACAAAAAATGTTCACAAAAGATTGAAAGTGAAAGGTGAGGTAAAAATTAAGGTCACCAAATCGTCGCACTTGAAATAATGTGTATAATTATTACGTTAAAGAGGTCACTTCGCCGTTCCGTAAAAGTCCCCCAAACTAAGGGACCATAAATAGGACATAGATTTGAGTAGCGCCAATATGTGCCACCTCTCAGAAATACTGATATTCATACGCCAATCGTGGATCTGAAGAAAAATTTTACCCCCCTCCCCCCCCCCCCCCGTGTGTTCGGTTCGGTTCAGTTTATTCACTTATTTCATGAGCAACAATAACAAGAAATTGCTATGAAGATGAACTTGTTCCTGCTTTGAGTTAGTGTGTGTGTGAGGGTGTATTTGTATTTTTGTTTATGTAACAGAAAAAAGAAACAACTGTAGTTGGTCTCTTTCGTCACACCCTCTCTCCCTCTATATTCAAATGAATAATACAATAATGTTTAAATGTTGATATAATTACAATCACCCCCCCCCCCCCAAATTAAGGTCCAGAATTTGTGCAGAATTTATGTACATGTATATGTATAAAAACTATCTGGTTTATTCCTTCTTTTTTTTATGTCTTTCTCCTATCAATCATGCAACTCTTTCTCTCTTGTGTGTATGTATATTGTATTACATGTATACGACTATATATAAATGTTAATTTACAATGTACTTTCTTTTTGCCCCACGAGGGCCCTTAATTGGTATATAAACAAAATTGAATTGAATATTCACACTAAAAGAAAACTTAGCAAATCCATATTCCCCTCCCACTTTCTCTCAAACTCTTTACAAACCAAACATCACATAAAAGAGGTCGTTGAAAGCGGGGTGTGATCGCACCCATCCCCTTAAAAAAGGGGAAGGAAAACAAGCTAAAAATATATATACAGGCCCGTAGGAAGAATTTAAGTAACCATATATTTTCAGTTTGAAGGCGGAGGGTTATCAAAGAAAAAATCCTTGACAGTAAAAAAAAAAAAAAAAGAAGAAAGAAAGAAAAAAGGACACCAAACGTTTGTTTGAGGGGGCACAATCATAAAGTAGATAAGAAAGTAGCTTTTTTTCTATGGTATATTATATATCGGCAAAATGTAAATGCATTATTCATTTGTTTAAAGATCGGTGCAAACTTGAAATTTCATTTTAAAAATCTTTAGATGGTATCATACCCATGGTATCATTTTTCGTAAAAATCATTGGTCCCATGCTCCCTTCCTTGCAAAAAAGGTTGGTTTCCCCTTTACTTACATGTCTAACATATATAATATAAACCTTAGCTTTCTTTGACAATATTCAACATAGTTCATGCAATCCATTCATATCGACGATTTACAATTTTCAACCGTTAGTAAGCCTCAATTTTAAATGTTGGTTGTGAAGTTTAGTGTGTTAACTTTTTCCAAGTTAGTTGTTGTTTTGAACTTTTTTTTTGATTGGCCTTTCTTAATTGAAAGAGGTTGATGTCCCATGCTCATTAACTGAAAAAAAAGTTGTAGCCCCATTACTTGAAGACATGAAAAAAGTCCCTGTCCCCATGCATTTTGCACCGGTCCCATGGTTCGATAAATTTTGATCGGTCCCTAATGCTGCTTGATTTTTTAAAGAAATGACTTCCAGAATTTACCAAATTGATTCATCATTTAAAAAAATCTTACTTAGAGGAAAGGGTCCCCCTCCCGCATCCTCCCCCGCACACCCCTTTCCAGAATTCTGATGACGGACGCCCCTGATATGCTTGCGGGTTTTAATTTTTTGCGGGTAGGGGTGGGGTGGGGATCGAGAAATAATAGGTCTTTATGAGAGGTGATATTAACTTAGAATCTAACAATTACGTTTAAATTTGTTCTAAATAAAGCTTTGTAAAATATTTTCATTACAGAGCAATCTCTTGTGATTATTTATCAAGTTAGTTTAGTGAGGAAATAAACATACAATAAAACCATAAAATCAAGGTAATATGTTGACAAATTGGCAGGATTGAATCGATGGAGCATTCTGAATAATTCGTATATCCCTACAGAAAATGTTTGGTAATATTTGTTTAAAATTTCACAAACGGTGCATATTTCAAGGTGAAACTGATAAGCTTTGAAATATGTTGACTTTGATCGTCAAACACCCCGTCAAGTTTTACCACGTGGGTAAATACTCAACCAATGGGAAAATGATTCTATTTGTTGACCTATTGCACGTGGATCAATTTAACCGAAATACGCATGTGTAATAACCTTGTAACCCGTGAACCTGCCGTCTGCTAAGAATGACAGTCCCTGGCCACACGTCGAATATGGAGGAAAAACAGCAATCTGTTGCGGGTACCCCGAATGAAGCAAATCTGCTGAAATTAATGGAACGTACAGGTTATCCAATGGTGCAAGAAAATGGACAGAGAAAATATGGCCCCCCACCTGATTGGAATAAGCAAGCACCTCCCCGTGGATGCGAAATTTTCGTAGGTAAAATACCAAGAGATTGCTATGAGGATGAACTTGTTCCTGTTTTTGAACGCATTGGAAAACTTTATGAACTTAGACTTATGATGGACTTTTCGGGAAGCAATAGAGGGTATGCATTTGTAATGTATACCACAAGGTCTGACGCACAAAAAGCTGTTCGGGAATTGAACAACTTCGAAATTCGCAAGGGACGGTTACTGGGTGTATGCACCTCTGTTGATAATTGTCGTTTATTTGTTGGTGGAATTCCAAAAACAAAGAACCGGGAGGAAATTTTACAAGAGATGAAAAAAGTCACAGAAGGAGTTGTGGATGTGATTGTGTATCCCAGTGCAGTGGACAAGAGCAAAAACCGTGGATTTGCATTTGTGGAGTACGAAAGTCATCGGGCTGCGGCTATGGCCAGAAGAAAATTAATTCCTGGGAGAATTCAGTTGTGGTCCCATCAAATTGCAGTCGACTGGGCTGAACCTGAGCAAGATGTCGACCCAGAGACGATGTCCAAGGTAGGCACAATACATAGACAACACGTGTTCTCAGTCATGCGTATAAACATAAACAAAGCATATTCGCAGTTTGTTTACCGCGGTATTTCGACTTGTAGATGCTTTATATTTTGCATGTGGATCTTTTACTTTTACGTATTTGAAAATATATGATGTATACACGCAGCAAATTAATAATATTCTAGAGTACAATAAGTAGGTCACCTTTTCATACCTGGATCGCCTTGTTCCTGTTTGCTCTTATCATAGATAACGCAGATTATCTGTCAACAATGTTGGTGTTTGCTTAAGAGATCAAGAATGTACAGACACGTTATCATCCTGCATGAGTTTAATAGTTAAAAATAAATGTAAAGTCATGAGGATACCACAGTGCTTTTTGACATGTTGAGTTTTCTGCAAATTCAAGGATCTATAAAATAATCTGTAAATTAGTAACACATTTGGATCATAATTGTATTCTTGTGACACCTGTACAAATTACATATGATTTTGTGATAAATTTTGTCTGTTAATTAAAGGAAATGTACTATCCTGCTAAAAATATGCCCTTGATAAATTCACATAGATCTAACGTTATATATCTTTTTATTAAGTAGTATTAGTTTTCATTTTTGACACAATTGTTCCTCTTCCTAAAAGTTGCAAATGCTTTGGTGGGTTGAATCAAAATATTGGTAATTGGTATGTACAGTACATGTAATTTTTATTAATACAATAAACAATATAGAGATGCCTGTGTATTGCTCACTATTCTTGGTAAAAAAAAAAAAATTGTCTGTCATGTTTCATTGACTTTTTTTACTGATTGAAATTTATTAGCTGCAGAACTATAGCTCTCTGCTTGAGAAAATTCGGAGAGATAAAGCAGAGAGCTACAGATCCAAGCATTGTAAAAATCTTCTATTTACGCCGCCGCTTTTTTGTTGCTCACTTCGGGTATTATTTCTTGTATTTTCTGCTTTGCCCCGCTTTAAGAATGGGAATGGTGTCCAATAATTAACTATTTATTTTACTCCTATTCTTGATACTTTATTTACCTTTTTTAAATGGTCCCAAACAGCCCTTAATGGTTGTGGAATGTCTGATTAAAAATTCCAATTCGGACATCCATGTTAGGGGTCTTTCAACAGGTCATTGTTCAAAGAACATACATTTGCAGAGAATTGTAAATAAAAAAATATTAAAAATTTAGGAGGTTCAAATATCATGTATATTGTCTATAAAGAAGACTATGCATGCAAAAAAAAAGTGAGATAAATAAAACTTGGGTGTGTTATTTAGGACAACACCAACATGGACCTTGTAATGTATTTTTTAATCTGATACTCCAAAACCACATATGGCCATTTAGAACTGTTGAAAGGTAAATATTTAGTATCAGGAAAAGGAGTAACATTTATGTTTAATTATTGGATACCATTCTTAAAGTAGGGGAAAGCGTAAAATACAAGAAATAAAACCCGAAGTGAGCAACAAAACAGCAGCGGCATACATCGAAGTTTTTTACAATGCTTGGATCTGTAGCTCTCGATCTGATTCATCTGAATTTCTCATCCAGAGAGCTACAGTTCTGCAGCTAGCAAGTGATTTCAGCAAAAAAATGGTATTCAAACATCCTCATGAGTGTCTCGCAGCATTAATAGTAGAGGTGTAACAATACAGTGTATATATCTATCATATTGATCGCAAGGGCTCACCTACTTAGATCAGTCTAGTAACAAATTTTAACATTCTAAGTAGTAGTTACCGTATAAGTTTTTATTGGTTTTCTCTAGATACCCTATAGAGAGGTTAAAAGGTCACGAGAAGGCGCAGCCTTCGAGTGACCTTTTAACCTCTCTATAGGGTATCTAGAGAAAACCAGTAAAAAAACTTATACGGTAAGTCACATGTACCATAGCACTCTCAGATTTCCAAATATGGCAGAGAGATGATGTATTAGTTTCAAATAAATTTCCTAATATGGTTTGTCACCTGACATAATTATAATGGCACGCGCTATACACTGTGCATATATATTACATTTTATTGAGCATTTTCCACACTTGGAATCAAAAAGCGAAAATGGGCAAACACAACGCAATGAGCATGGATCTCGATTTTCTTGAACTGTCGCAAAATTTTGAATGGGACAATTCTATCGATGATCAAACTCTCTCACAGATAGGCCAGTTGATGGACGAAGTAAACGTGTTTGATGGTAATGGGGAGTTATCTCTTACTCAAACGAGTTTTAATTTGACCCAGGAGCCGGTTATACCCTAGAATGTACGTTATACAGCAGCTGGACCATTCGGACGATCGATTTGGAAAGGTTTACGATAACGACAATGTATATATACGTGGAACGTTATTAAAGATTTTAAATAAAATTTAATTGATTAAATTCTATGCAATTCAAGGTCCCGCCTATAGGTTATGAAGCCTCCGCCCATGGGTTATGGTGTAGATAACCCATAGTTAAAACAATAGAAAACATGGCTGCCTATGGTACATATGGCAGAAAACAAGGTAGACGAAAAAAGAAACCAATGTTTAAACTATGAATCATTCATAATAAACTTTCAATTGGTAAACAGTGTTGAGATATTCATGCTATATTATTATGATGATTAGGTAGATTGCGATACTCAGGTCTAATTAATAGGACATCATTTAAGTTAGATGGTATAAAGTAAGGCCCTCATCATGCATGCACCTTACCCTGAACATCAGTTAATCTCATTGGATTTCATTTGATTTTGATTTATGATCAGAACACCTATACATTTTAATAGTTTACTGTATGCAACCATACAATTTCAATCTTTCACAAGTTGTTTCTTTATCCCCTTTATGCACATGGGTTTAACTTTGTGACAATAACCAGGGATAGACATTAACTTTCAGGGCAAGTGAACTCAAACTTTCAGTTGTCCAAATGCAAAAGTTGGTTGGCCAAAATTTAGGAAGAAGAAAATAACTTGATTTATTATTGTAAGTGTTAGGATAAGAAAAAGTGTGACAAAATACGGCGTAACCAGTAGGTTGAGATGCCAACCAATAATTATTAAATACAAAACTTACCTTGGAGTACAAAAGTTTTGGATGAAATGAATTTAAATGTAAATACTTACAAAAAATATTTTAAAAATTGAAATCTTTGAGAAATCACTATAGAAGATGTAAAATTCATTACTTTTCACCTTTACGAGACACAAAGTCAATTTGCTATATCCATAAATTCACTTTATCAGAGTTTGTTATAACTGTAAAAGTTTACAAGGAGTTGTTAAGAACTTTGATAGGGATTCTAACAAACTTCATTATCTCCGTAAATTTTCTATAACTGTGTTTGTGCTAAATGAGTTATATTTGAAAAAAAAAATGATATTTAATCTTATTTAATAACAATAGTATTATACCTCTTTTTCCTGATAAAAATTATTACAATATCATATTCACATTATTAGAAAATGCACCCATTCATTTCCAGGTGAAAATACTGTATGTTCGAAACCTGATGTTAAGTACAACTGAAGACACTATACAAAGGTTTATGAATTGCAAACTAGGAAAGGACAATGCAGTAGAGCGTGTGAAGAAGATCAAGGACTATGCTTTTGTCCATTTCAAAGATAGAGATGATGCTCTTCAAGCCATGGAACTGACCCATAGTAAGATATAAAAACTTGTAAAAATTGTAAGAATGTTTCATGAAATAACAAATCAAGCTACTTTTCTGAGAAAAAATGTGACCTTAATGTTATCAATTATTAGTAAGTCCATTTTATCATCTTAGTTTTATTAAGATTCCATGGATTCTTGTTCTAATTATTGTCTGACTTTTTTGGGGAAAAAAATGACAACATGTCTCATTTGATAATTGTAAGAAAATACGTGTTACTCTGTAGAGTGAGATATTGGATTTAATAAAATTTTGATAAATGTTTTTTAATTTTCAAATTTAATTTAACAGATGCAACTCTTGATGGTGCCAGAGTAGAGGTTGTTTTGGCAAAACCTGTAGATAAAAATGATTATAGGAACTATACCAGAGGGAAAACTGCTTTACAACAGGTATATTTAAACTTCAAGTAGAAAAATTGATAATTGCAGAAATTGAATAGAAATGTATAAACATATGGTAATCAGGGTTGCAAGGAATCACTCACCTTCTTGTAGATCTATATGTGAGTAGTTTTCTTTGTGGGCTTCATACTCCTAAGACATACTCCTAGACATAATCTAGCTGACATATGTCTAGTAAAATTTCATCAAAACTTTTCCAGAAATCTGACTGCAGTTTGTTTCAACTTTTAAACACTTTTTAGCTCACCTGAGCCAAAGACTCGAGCTTTCTGCATGATCAAAGACTGTCATGTGTCGCTTGTAAACTTTTCACACTTTCAACTAGTATGTAAAGTCATGTGGTGAAGGTTGATTAGTTTAATTGATTTCTTTACATCCTTTTGAGAATATTTAACTCAAAGTTGGGACACCACCAGTTGCTGGTAAAGGGTTGCAAATTTAGACCATACTTGCATTTTATGACCAATGAGCAGTGAGAGATCTTTTTTATGCCAATATCTACTGTAATATTGGACCTCTTTTTTTGTGGTCCTGGAGGACCTGTCTTTATGACTCTAGAACAAAACACAAAGAAAAATGTGGAATTTCAATGAAGTGTTATTTAGCTCCATAGGAAAACTAGACTGGACCCTTAAGATTACATATCTGATTAATATTATATGAAAAGAGGAATTCATTGAGAAACTGCAAGAAGTTAAAATGGAAATTGAATTGAAATAAATTAAATTGATGTATATAAAAAGAGTATGTTTGTTGTTGCAATTGTTTTCAACTTTTCATTGATAAATGTGTTCCCCAATACACCATTGAGGGCTAGTAAAAATGTGTAAAGTTGGAGGTTTACATACCCCCTAAAATTTTAAACCCTGGGTAACTTTTTAAACTTTATATTTCACACAAGTATATTTCTTTATTATTGTACTAATTAAGAAATTCATTTTTTTTCTTTAGGATGATATTGAAGAGGCTCTAGAATCACAATTAAAACAGCTTTCTTTTGAGGTTCTTATTCTCTATTTGAATTAACTTATTTAGTTGCCGATTGTTATTTGTTGCATGTTGTGTTTTCAGAATATTTTTGTTTCCAGTGTTTTCCCAAAGAACTGGCTACCAGCCAAATTGGCCGCTCCAATTGATGAAAATGCTGCTTTGAAGTTAAAAAAAAATCAAAATTAAATTGTTGTAAGGTCCACAGGAATTTGTCATAAACTTCAACCCAGAGCCTGTTACAATTGATCTCTAACTCAAGGGAAAACACTGTGTTTCAGGGATTGAAATTACTAGCAAAATTAGCAAGTAGAAAAAAAATGTACATGTACTAGAAAACTTTAGTTTCACTACATTTTTCCATTTTCTTTAATTGCTACTTGAAAATTTTAATGATGCAAAAGAACTCCCCCACATATATAAAGTGAATTCAATCTTTTATGTCTCTTTCACTAAATAAAGAGCAGTGAAAATATTTTCTTTTCATAGTGAGACTTGTTGAACATTACAGTCATCAACTTCCCTTACTTATGTAGTAATATACCCTTATCACCTGCATATGGGGTTTATGTCTCTCAGTTAATTCAATATGAAAGAGCATGCTCTACATATGAACAATTTCTAAAATGAGGCAAGCTATTGACAAACAAGTTGATGAAACAAGGATATCAACAGTCTCGTTTGAAGTCATCATTTCGCAAGTTTTACGGTCAATACAATGACCTTGTCAGTACATACAACCTATCATTGAGCCAAATGCTGGCTGACATTCTGATCATGTCAAGGAGCATATGGCGGGTGTGACCGGTCGGCAGGGGATGCTCACCCCTCCATGGCACCTGATCCTACCTCTAAATTTTGAGGTCCATTTTTGCTCTGCTCCAAATTTGTATCGTTTCATTGGACTTTTGAGATTGAATACTGTTTGTTATCTTCATATATCATGTAACTATATACATGTAAATAGAAAAAAGGTAAATCAAATTCAATTAATGTCAATTATAGTCCGACACTATTACAGTTACTAATGGTCGATTGCAAAGTCTTGGCAACCCTTTTGCAAAAAAATAATTCTAATCCATTTTGAAAGAACTGGCAAACTTATGTGGCTATTTTAATACATGTACAATATTTGGACATATAAATTGCCTCTTATTTAGCACATTTATCATCTGTGTTTATCAGGCATGTAGCCAGAATGGAATTGAAGTATACACAGAGATCAGCAGGGAGTTAGGGGCTGAACTGAGGCTCTCTGAGTCCAGGGCGAAGCCCCTGGAAGCTTTGGGCTTTTACCAAATATTTGTTTTATTTCCTTGCAAAAAAAAAATCCATGCAGTTTCTCTTTTCTTTAGAAAATAAAATATATCGTAGTATTGTTATACTTCCATGGAAACTTACTTACTGTGCATGAAATTGAGGCTGAATATACTTGGAAATTCATGCAGCTTTAATTGACCAGTGTTACCAGTATTGGAGGTAGATGGACGTTTGGGAATTTTACTTGATGACACAGTATTGTCACTCAGTGATATCGCATGCTTTCATTTCAGATATTCGAAGTTTTTCCAGCCTTGTAGCTAACGTCATTGTAACAAATTCTACACACTGCTTTTTCAAATTCAGTCACTTTCCTTCCATTAACAGTGACAATTTTTAAACCAAAAGTTCTTCCATACCACCAAATGGTAACATCTCGGTGGACTTTAGAGTTTAACTTGTTGGTTAGGCCAAAAAAAATTAACAGTCTTGTTTCCTGCTACCAACCTGAAAAAAATAGCGTAGGTAGGTAGGAAAATTATTTTATTTTATTTTTTTTCCAATGGCATTTTTTTTGGATATGAACTAATACAAGATCAAATTAAACATGTCACAGAACAATATTGTCTTTTAATATTAAAATTCATGTCTTTTGATGCATAACTCAAGTGGTAATATATGAAAGTCCACATTTAAAACATAGAATTTTATGAAATGCTTGTTTTGTGTTAACACGGAAACGGATTATGGTGACGAAAAAATGAAATTCAGGAAATTCCGATTTTTTTTTCTTCCAAAACTAAAAAAATATTTAGGGTCGCGCGCAAAAAACTAGGGTCTGTTGGGTAGCAGGAAACAAGGCTATTATTTTTTTTTGGCCTTATTGTTCGATAGCAGACTGCTCTGATGCTTCCTCCGTTACTGTCTGTTGCCATTTTCTCCCTCACATGTGTCAAACCATTGAAATGAGGTCGAGCCCGATCTATTTCAAGGAACAATTGAACCCGATTTTTTAAAAAAGTATCAAACCGAAAATCAAGATAATGAAACGAACATTGAATCGAACAATTATATTGAACAGTATCGATATTTCGGTGAATCATTTCAGCCCTAATGGGAAAGAGAAAATACATTGATATATCCGAGAGTTCAAGATATTTAGGGTAAATTACTGAAAGAATAAGTACTTGAGACTTCTAAATCACTTCGACATATCCATGGTATTCAAGATACCTGTGTATCTTGTGTATATACTGTATACACAAAACATAGTAAATGTAAGCTTAAAAACAAAGCTGATAAACTGGCAGAAACTGAAAACAATTATTGTTTTTTATCGAACTCCTAAAATTTTGCAACAGCGTGTAGCAATATTTAACCCCATTGTTTTAATTTTTCACTTGCATTTAGGAAATCTATTTCCTTTTAATTTCAATCCCTTGTTGTTTTTGAGAAAGATGGCTGAGGGAAGCAATATAGCACCTTAAAAGGGTATGACAGTAGCACAAGTAAATGAGCTGTGCTTTTTTTTTCTTGAAAACATCACTGTTCTTTGTTAATGAAGAGTTACTAATTAACACAGTTCAGCTTAGTTTTGTTTTACTAAGCATTTCAAAAGACTAGCAAAACATTTGTGAAAATGTGATGGCCTTGTCTATGGAAGTGTTTATTTATATTTTCAAAGCATGATGTGATGTATCGATTAAAGGTTACTTTGAAATCACTGATTTTTGTGGAGGTTTAATTTTCTTTTTTTTTGAGGTATGGAGAGACCCATGAATTCATGACCACCATGAAATATTACCGTATATACTCGCCTATAAGTCGGTTCTTTGGGAGTTAAATTTTGGTCAAAAACTCAACGTCCGACTTATAGGCGAGTCATAAAAAGAATGGTGTTTTTCTGGACGGCGAAATGTAATATTTCTTGTATACATTTCTGAAGATTATCGTTGAGCAAAGTCTTGATAGAAATAATCATTTCTGTATTCTAAGATTATACATAAAGTGCAGATATTTACATATTTTAATAATTTTATTTTTATCTTAAGTCTGCATTACTTATTTGTTTAATGATTTAAATTTGAATATCGGCATCATTTCTAAAAATATTAATTGAAACCAGGTTAAAACATCAGTGCATTGATTTGAAATTTCTTCCGATTCTGGCAAAAAGTTGTAACGACTTATAAACGGGTCAATGGCAAATCCCTCCAAAATAACCTCAAAAAAATACAACCGACTTATTGGCGGACCGACTTATAGGCGAGTATATACTGTAGGCAGATAATTGTAATTAAGTACATGTAGATAATGACAGTCTTCCCCTTTGTAAGGCAATCAGTTCATCTGCATTAAGAGCTTTAAGATACCATTTTTAATATTATATTTTGGTTGTACACACTCGAATCAATGTATTTATTTTCTACGTTGACAAATATCAAATGTATAATTTCTTACTGTACACCTTTAAAAGTCTACACACAATTTTACTTCGAAACACCGATGCAAAACCTGTCATTAGGTTTGTCTGATACAATTTATATTAAGGTCAAAATAAAAAAAAAATCTTTTCTCATGGATTTGCATTTCTGAACCCTACTGTTTTTGATTTTATACTGTATCTTTTAAAAATGCTTATCCTGTTAAAATGATAGAGGTAGCATTATCAGCTAGACAGTGAAAAGAAGTTTCAGGAGCTCTGAAAATAGTCTAAAACTGCAGACTTTTTTTGTTTTATATTTAGGCGTTTGGTGGATACAACATGTATGGTGATCAAGCCATGTTTAATCAAGTTTTCCAACATCCTGGCAGGTAAGGAGCTATGGAAGAAATATTTTGTAGCTCAATCAACAAACACACAATTTTTTAAAATATATGCAGAATAGTCTTCAAAATTTTATTTGGGGATAATTAAAAGTTGTTATGTTGATAATGCCTAAATATTTGCAAATTATAAAGCTGATTAAAGGCTTTTTGTTTTTAGAAGAAAAGTAAAGTAATTTGGGATATTACACAGTTTTGGGGATGTCTTTGAAAAAATATCATTTACCAATATATAACCAGTAAATAACTAATATACTGTTTTGTGACAAAGCATGTTTTCTATTAATAGTATGTGCACTGCAATGATTCACATACATTTTGATTTGATGCACATTTTAGTTTAGACCAACCTTTTCACTTAAAGTGCATTGAGATGTTTAAAATGTATTTCTTAATTATCAACAAGACCATGCACTCATTAATGGAAACATTGATTTGCAGTACATGTATATGGGTGCACTGATATTGTACTGTAATAGACTAAATATGTTGCACTTGTGAGTAAATGGACAGGTATTTGGTTGACTTTGGATATAAATTTTTCCTGATTAAAAAAATATATCTGTGTTTCTTGTAAGAATCTTCATTTTCAGTGCTTAAATTTATTTGAATGATTTATCAATTAAATGTCAGGTGCTGCTTGCTTAGCCAAGAGAATTTGAAGTATTTTCTTGTCTTTAATATACATGTGTTGTCCAAAGTAAAAAAAAAAATGGGAGAATGAACTTTCAGTTGTATTACATTAAATTCCAGAAGAATAAAAGTTGTTGGCTAAAAGTTTAAATTTAAGGCAGGCATATTACCAATGCATTTCGAACAGCAGTTTGGGAATGGATTTGATATATACTGCCCAAAGTGGAAAAATCTATTGTGTGAATTGCAAAGTTCAAGTTAGAGTTTTGATAATTGGTTTTCAACTATTACAGGGAATTCCAAGGTAGGACAGCCATAGGAATTCGAGGTGCCCTGAGAGGAAGAGGTCGTGGAGCGGCTGGATCTAGGGGAGCAGGGAATCAGAGAGCTGGGTTCATTCCTGGCGTAATTGGCAGGGGTCTGCGAAGGTATCCTTATGAAGTAAGTCTTGTTTTTTGAATTGCATGAGAATTGCTTTGTTTTTTAATTTTTGACTGATATTGTTCAAAAAGTAACTTTGGTATTATAGTTTAGCTAATAAAACAAATAAGCCTATGAAATGTCACATTTAGTACACTTTAGTGATTGAGATGTATAATAGGAAAATAATCCAGGAACTTTGTGTTTGTTAATTCATAATAATTTAATTTTGTTTGTATTCTAGTCTCTGATTGGTTAATATCCAAAAAGGAACACAAATTATTTCTGTATAACCTGGTTTGGTATGGGGACACACCCCCCTGACAACCAGCTGAATCATCTGTATGCATACAATCCTCTCATTTCCAGTCCTCGGCATTCATGGAAAATTCCAGATTTAATAAATATACCATTAACTTCAAACAATAATTCGATCTTACCACATGTAAACAAGCTGCTAGGCCTATGTATCAGTTTTTACCTCCCCTCGCTTCCCATCACTTCCGTTACTTCCGTTACTACGGTTGTATTATTGAGCGGCAAATTTGAACTAATAAAAACCAACGAAATTTTACACCCATAGTTATTTAATGATTTTAAAATTAAATTATAAGGAATGACTCTAATTCTTGGCCAAATTATTCGAGTATAACCTGGTTTGGGTCAGTTTACGCTGTTTTATAATCCGCTTCGCGGATTATAAAGCGTAAACTGACCCAAACCAGGTTATACTCGAATAATTTGGCCAAGAATTAGAGTCATTCCTAAATAAATATGCATTTTCACTCTGCCTGAGAGTTGAATAGTATTTTATATGCTTGTACTTTTTAAAATCTTAATTATTTCCCTTTTAAGTAAAAAAAAAGTGATAAATGTCTTTATATGTTGTTATAAGCCTGATTAAATACTGAAAAGTACTTGTTAGGAACAATACATTGTTTGATATACTTGCAAATATGCAGAAGGCACTAAGTTTTAAAACACAATCTTGTACTTAAGAAAATAGAAAATAATGAGAAAATGAAAGTTAGATTAAAGTTGTAGTGTACTCTTTAGATTTTGTTCATTTCTACAAGTTTGTGCATGCTGTTTTCTCGTTGCTACTAGGACCGTTTATATGATTTGCTGCCTGGCATGGAACTGACACCTACTAACCCTATAACACTCAAACCACAAACTGTCAAACCTCCAACACAGGTATTGAGCTCTGTTTCTTTAGCCTGCTAGTATTCTTTTTTTTTTATCTCACCATCTATGCTTCAATCTATGATTGATAATGCTGTTACATTGATAAGGAAACACAATATTGGAGTGTTTTGACATTTTCTCTTGGGATTACAATAGTTTTGGCATGATTATTGATAGTACATGTGAAATTCTTTCAAAATGCTTCTCCTCGTACACTTTTGATCTGATTTCAATGATATGTTGTATTCAAATGGATTAATTTATGATGATAATATGTTATTCTTTTTATCAGTTTGATTTTTTTGAATGTTCATTGTTTCCATGGTTATACCTACAATAGAACATAGTTGCCAACTCTCCTGAATTTGTTGGGTAATGCCCAATTTTTTTTTTAACATAACTTTGATTTTTTATTTTTTTTTTTGGAAATGCCGGGTCATGCTTTTCACCAGATTTTTGCTGAACAGCCAGAATCATCATATCAAATCATATATTTTCCAAATTTGGTTTGTAAATAGTTCAAAATGTAATTTCCAGTTATCAATCCAGTTAAAGCAATATGAGCTGCAACTTTGACATAGGAAATTTTTGTTGCAATATTTCAATTAAGTATTTCAATAACAGAAAAAAGAACGTTTATAAACTTCTGATCTGTTGTTCATGTTTGCAACGGAAGAACTATTTATAAGCTTTGATTGAAGCAAAATTACATTATTGTCATCCTGTACAATATTGATTTCTTATATATAATACTATACATTCCATTGTACAGAAATCTTTCTTCTGAAAAAATTGAATACTTACTTTAGTTCAGTTGATCATAACGGATTGAATTACATACAGATTTATCATAACAGCACATTTTTAATATCAAAATAAAATTTTCAAAAATGCAGCTCATATTGCTTTAAGCTTTGATCTACATAAACAATGCCAATGGCTGTATACAGTACAACATGTATGTACAGGTCAATTATCAGTGTATATATTTTAATAATTATTTTGAAGTTGTTTTGACAAATTGAAGTTTGAAATTATTGAAAAATGGCTTCCGATATATGACGAGATGGTTTTCAGGACCAGCAGGAATACCACCAGTGAAAATTAAGAAAAATGATCTTAATGTACATATCAAGGAATCTTGGAAATCAAAGTTCATTTGATGAAATAAAGTAATCGAAGATAACATGAGGCTAGCTGTACATTATATGTTAATTGCAATTGTTTATTAGGTAAGGTGATTTTATCTTCAAGACCAAGATTTTACATACTAATTTTAAAACTATAGCTCAATCTTTGCTTGTTCTTAAATCAAACAGCAATGCAGATTCTGAAAGGGCTTTAAGTATTAACAAGATGTGTTTGTGAAACACTGACGCCCCCATATGGCAACTTATAGCGAAGGTTAAACTTTCTCAAATGCAAATAAAATATGTTGGTACCCAAAGCAAGGTCTTGTCTCGAAGAATATACCTCTGAAATATGAAAGCCCTAGTAGCAACCATTGAAAAGATATGGAAAAGGTTAAAGTTTTCAAAAGTGAGTCAAACATCAAGGTCAAGGTCAAAATTAATGGTGCCCAAGGAAAGGTCTTCTCACAAGAAATACACATGTGAATTATGAAGCCCTAGGACCAACCTTTCAAAAGTTATGGTCAAGGTTAAAGGTTTTCAAAAGTAGGTCAGACTCCAAGGTCAAAGGTCAAAGTTGTTGGTATCCAAAGTAAGGTCTTGTCACAAGGATTACATAAGTGAAGTATGAAAGTCCTAGCACCAACTGTTCAAAAGTAATGGCCAAGGTTAAAGTTTTCCAAAAGTAGGTCAAAGGTCAAGGTCAAAGGGTCAAAGTTCTTGGTATCCAAAGAAAGATCTTGACACAAGGATTACACATGTGAAGTAAGAAAGCCCTAGCACCAACTGTTCAAAAGTAATGGCCAAGGGTAAAGTTTTCCAAAAGAAGGTCAAACTCCAAGGTCAAAGGGTCAAAGTTTTTGGTATCCAAACAAAGGTCTTGTCACAAGGATTACATTTGTGAAGTATTGGAAGCCTTAGCACCAACTATTCAAAAGATATGGCCAAGGTTAATGTTGGGTAAAATTTTGCAAAACTGGGCCAAACTCCAAGGTCAAATATGATGGTACCCAAGGAAAGGTCTTGTCACAAGGATTACACATGTGAAATATGAAAGCCATAGCTCCAACCAATCAAAAGTTATGGGCAAAGTTAAAGTTTTTGTGGAAAAACAGACAGACAGATGGTTGGACAGACAGGGCAAAAACCCCGAATCTTCCTGCCCTCGGCTAGGGCAGGGCCACAATGGAGGATCAAAGTGTTACATAGAAATATATAGGAAAAACCTTTAAAAATCTTCTTCTCAAGAACAGCAAAGCCATGATGAGTCATATTTATATGGAAGCATCCTCAGGTAGTGTAGATTTAAGTTTGATCAAATCATGACCCCCGGGGGTAGGGCGGGGCCACAATGGAGGATCAAAGTTTTACTTAGAAATATAAAGGAAAAATCTTTAAAAATCTTCTTCTCAAGAACAGCAAAGCCATGATGAGTCATATTTATATGGAAGCATCCTCAGGTAGTGTAGATTCAAATTTGTTCAAATCATGACCCCCGGGGGTAGGGCGGGGCCACAATGGAGGATCAAAGTCTAACATTGAAATATTTAGGAAAAATCTTTAAAAAAAATCTTCTTCTCAGGAACAGGAAAACCCTGATTGGTAATATTTATATGGAAGCATCCTCAGGTAGTGTATATTCAAATTTATTCAAATGATGACCCCCGGGGGTAGGGTTGTTCCACAATGGAGGATCAAAGTTTTACATAGAAATATATAGGAAAAACCTTTAAAAATCTTCTTTTCAAGAACAGCAAAGCCATGATTGATCATATTTATGTGGAAGCATCCTCAGGTAGTGTAGATTTTATTTTGTTCAAATCATGACCCCTGGGGGGTAGGGTGGGGCCACAATGGAGGATCAAAATCTTAAATAGAAATATATAGGAAAATATCTTCTTATCAAGAACTGCAAAGCCATGATAAGTCATTTTGCTATGGAAGCATCCTCAGGTATAGTGTAAATTCAGTTTTGTTCAAATGATGACCTTTGGGAGGTAGGGTGGGGCCCAATGGGGGATTGAAAATTTTACATAGGAACATATAGGAAAATATCTTCTTATCAAGAACTGAAAATCATGTTAAGTCATTTTGATATGGAAGCATCCTCAGGTAGTGTAAATTCAATTTTGTTCAAATGATGACCCCCGAGGCAGTGGTGTATCCAGGAATTTTGTAAAGGGGGGGGGGGGCAGTAGAGGCATTGGGTCTGGGCTGCATTGAAGCCCCCAGGGGTCTAGAGCAAGGCCCTGGTGGGGGTCTGGGAAGCTGATGAATTCTTACAAAGAAGAGATTTTTTTTCTTGATTTTAGGATAATGGACATATAGGTTCTACATAAAGAAATTAAAACGGGAGGTGCACGCCCGGCGTGCCGGCCATGGATCCGCCTTTGCAGGGGTAGGGTGGGGCCCAATGGGGGATCGAAAGTTTTACATAAGAACATATAGAAAAAATATTTCTTCTCAAGAACAGAAAAACTATGTTTAGTCATATTGATATGGAAGCATCCTCAGGTAGTGTAGATTCAAGTTTGTTCAAATGTTGACCCCTGGGATAGGGAGGAGCCACAATGGGGGATCAAATTTTTACAAAGGAATATATGGGAAAATTTTTAAAAAATCTTTTCAAGTACAACAAAGCCATTTGTTAAATTGACATGGAAGGTTCCGGTAGTTTAAAATTCAAGCCCCCCCCCCACCCCCCCCACCCCCCCCACCCCAAGGTAATCTTTTCAATACTGAACTGATTTGTACTTTTGCCCAGCCAATGTGCTCAGGTGAGCGATGTGGCACATGGGCCTCTTGTTAGTTCACCTGAGCCAAAACCTGTAGTATATATTTCAGTTTTTAGTTCACCTGAGCCAGCTTTTCTGATCAAACAGTGTCAGACATCCAACTGTCATCCGTCGTCTGTAAACTTTTCACATTTTCGACTTCTTCTCAAGAACCACTGGGCCAGTTTCAACCAAACTTGTAACAAAGCAGCCTTGGGTGTAGGGAATTTAAGTTTGTTCAGCAGGAGTTCCACTCCTCTTTCAAGGGGAGGTTATTAAGAATTCATGGAAATTTGGTGGCATCTTTTAAAAATCTTTTTCAAGAACCACTGGGCTAGAAAAGATGAAACTTATGTGAAAGCTTCATTACATACTTTAAATTTAAGTTTGTTCATATATCCTCTGGGTTTAGGGACTGGGGCCACAAGAGGGTGTTGAAGTTTTACATAGGAATATATAGGAAATGTCTTTAAAAATCATCTTCTCAAGAACAGGAAATTCATAATTAGTCATATTATAATAGAAGTATCCTCAGATAGTGTAGATTCAGTGTTTTCCCTAAGAACCGGCTACCAGCCAAATTGACCACTTCAATTGATAGAGATGCCGCTTAGAAATCAAAAATTTAAAATAATTGATGTAAGGTTCACAGAGATTTTGTTCATAAACATCAACCCTTAGCCTGTTACAATCGATCTCTAACCCTTTACTTTGAAATAAAGGGAAAACACTGAGATTCAAGTTTGTTCCAATCATGACCCCTTGGGGTAGGGCAGGGCCACAACGGGGGTCAAAGTTTACCACAGGAATATATATAGGAAATATCTTTAAAAATCTTCTTCTCAAGAACAACTAAGCCATTATTTGTCATATTCATACAGAAGCAACCTTAGGTATTGTATCTAATCAAGTTTGTTCAAATTATGACCACCAGGGGTTGGGAGCACAACAGAGGGTCAAAGTTTTGCATAAGAATATTTATGAATAATCTTGAAAAAAACGTTTTGCTCAAGAACAGCAAAACCATGATTAGTCATATTATGAAAGAAGCATCCTCGGGTAGTGTAGATTCAAATTTGTTCAAATTTAGGGTTGGTTGGATGGGGCCACAATGAGGGATCAGAGTTTTACATAGGAAAACATAGGGAAAAAATCTTTAAAATTCTACTATTTAAGAACAGCCATGATTAGTAATATTGATATGGAAGCATCCGAAGGTAGTGTAAATTAAAGTTTGCCCCCCTCCCCTGTTCAGTACTAAACTGATTTCTGCTTCTTCCTAGCCAATGTGCTCAGGTGAACAGTGTGCCCCATGGACCTCTTGTTTTTAAAAGGGAGCAAAAAGTTTTATATGTTGTAAGGAATTCTTTTTTTTTAAGTATTAAATCAATGTAATGATTTTTTTGCTTTCAGATTTTAGATGACTTTTGCCAAAAGAATGGCCTTGGCTCTCCAATTTATCAACTACATTCCACTCTCAATGGAGAAAGTCAATTATTTTTGTATAAGGTAAGGTCAAAAACTCTGAAACCTTATAGAACTTACATATTTGAAAAACTGGAAATGAAATTTTAAGTCAATTTTTCTTCAAGGTTACTGTTCCAGCCTACCCAAATCCTTTTCAACCCAACAAATTATGTCGCACTGTTGAGGATGCAAAATGTTTTGCAGCAGAATTTGTGATGTCTCAGATGGGAATTCCAATGGATGGTAAGTTTTGATTTGGCCTAGCTGGCAGTATAATGTAGTGATGCTTTCTGCTCCAAAATCTTCTTTCTGTCATAGTGGCTATTGCACAAACTGACTTCATTCAAATATTTTGTCCAAACTCTAGTATTATATCATTCGTAATCAGAAGTTAGCTTGTTTGGTTTTATTTATGAATAAAAGTAAAGATTAGACAATAAAATTCCTTGGTGAGCTTAGTGTACAAGTAATGTAACTGGAATAGTATTGGCTGAAATATAACTGTAGAACAACTCAACTATATGTAGTCAAATGAATATACTAGCATCCCCAAGTTCTGTAGGTTCAACTCTGGTGTTAGATGACTTAAGGATGTTCGAATGGAGCTCCAGTATGAAATTAATATTTTCACATAGAAATAGAGAAAAAAATCCATGTTATTCTGAGGAACAGCAAGGATGAAATCAAGTGTACCCAAGTAATCTACAAGCATTCCCATTTATTGCTGATTTATATTTGTTCAAGCATGATCCTAGAGTTAGTAGGTATATATACAGAATTCAGGGCTCTTGATTGTTTATAATTGGGGCTGTTCAAAAGCCCCATTCCCAATTCAAAAAAGGCACCCTTTTCCCCTTTGAATGTTCATTTTCCCAGTATTCATTTCCACCCAATATATATATATATATATATATATATATATATATATATATATATATATATATATATATATATATATATATATATATATATATATATATATATATATAAAATAACTAAAATTGTATCGCAAAACAGAAATTTAGTTGATAACAAACCAAACACCAGAAACCCAGTATAGCATGATCTTAAAATATGATGGTCATCCAAAAATTCACCAAAGATATCTATTTTTCCCAATTTTTATGGCCTGATCCTAGTCCCAAAGAGTGGTGTGAGAGCCCTGGAATTTTTTTTCCAAATCAACTATATATTGTCTGAAATAAAGAGTCTGTCTCTTTCTCTCCCCCCCCCCCCCCCCCCCCCCCCCCCCCCCCCCCCCCCCCCCCGTAAATATGCATATTCAACCAAGTTTGGCAATGCATTTGGTATAGAGAGAATGATGAGAGTTCCTCTTGTTTTTCAAATTGATTGTGAATATGTACTGAAGTAACAGAGTTGTCTAAAAGTATGTGTGAATGATTAAAAAATCTGATAACAACATGCATGAATAAGTTTTGATATTCTTATTGTGCAGAAAACTTTTGTAAGACATGCTGTACATGTACATGTATTTTTTTAAGAAAAATAAAATGCATAAAATTCCTTTCATTTGATTGCTGGTTAATGAATCTTTTGATGGCCCGTATATGACTGCTGAAAATGATATTTAGTGGTAAGAAGGTAAATTGTGAAGTTTAGGCTTTAAATTTCACTCAAAAATGGATTGAGATCACCTTCTAGTATGTCACAAGTTGACAATTTTATCTTAGATGTTTATTTTATATCTGTTCAGGTATCCAGATTTATTGATATTAGTATTTGACATTTTGACAGTATTGTAAATTTTACCTTTTTTCTCATGAGAAAGAAAGTTTAGAGCACTCGGATTATCTTCCAACAAAGTTTTTTAGATGCAGTTTTTTTAACTATCCAGATTTTCCTTCACTGTCTCTACATACCCTTTTCTGAAGTATATATTCCAAATTTTGATACATTTGATAATGATAAAAATCAATTTAGTTTCTGTTGGTTAGTTATAGAAGATGGGCAATATTACACCTAGAATTGTCAAACCTGTTAGTTGGTGGATGTTGGGGGAAGTATGTCACGACCCAAACATTGGTGACTGTGATTTCATTTGGAAATCTTTAGCTATCCATATCCAAATTATGTATGGATCATATTTAGTGTAAGACCTAGAATTAACAAGTCTTTGTCATTGAAGCATCTTTTTAAGAGGAAAAGGGGGGTGTTTCATGACCAAAAAGTAGGCTAGTGTGATCAGTCACCTTACTAAATGGAGTTTCTGTAGCTATCTATAGTCAAATTGTGTTTGCATCATATGTTTCACAATTTGAAGCTTAGGACCATAAAATCTTGTCAGTTGGAGCATGTTTGGGACAGAAGAAGATCACTTTAACCTTCCTATATGTAATTTACAAAGAACTTGAAGTATTTTTAGAGTAGTAATATAAAATACATGGTTTCAGCTTGTGACATTGAGTATGCAGAGATAGATATACATGTGTGTCATGTTGTTTGAGATATGGTGTATTATTTACCCTTAGTAATGCAAATTATTTCTAAGATTATGTAAATTTCATTCAAAGCAACTTAAATACTGGGGGAAAATGCAGACTAGTTGGAATAACAGTTCATATATTTTACCTGTTTGCTGTTTGAAATGCTTATTCTGCTAGAGATCTCTACTTACAAACTTCTTACTGCTTCCACAGGTCCACCAGAGATGCCCACAGGACCTGTAGTGGCTTCTGCACCTATTGCTCCTAACCCATATCAAGGGAGGCCTATAGGACCTGCTTATGCCTCTATTCCAAGTGCTGTGTCTGCACGTCCAGACCTGACTTTTGCTTCTACCATGCCAGTGGTGACTACTGCACCTCCTTCTTATGTTATGGCACCAGGAGAGCTCCCACCACCCCCACCACCTCAAAGTAAGCTCAATCAAGGGGCTGCTATTTTCTCACATGTTTGCATAGAGGCTGTTTAGCTCACATGTCTTGAACAGGGTTTGTAGACATTGCTTATACAGGTTGATTAGACTGTATTTTTTCAGAATAATCCTAGCTTTATTGAAAATGTAAACAACTTTTAGTCCTTCATTTTTTTCCAACTTGATGAAAGTATTGGTGAATTTGAAGTGAACATATCTTTTCTTTTAACAGTTGCTGGTTTTGACACAGGATACATAAAGTGAGATTACACATCCTCATTGTTTGCGTGTGGCAGATTTGCATAATATAATATATATTTTTACTTTTCCCAATAAAGGGTTTTTGAAATGGAAGGAAAATAAACAAAATGAGAGAAGTCAGTATTTTTGATCATGATTCTGACATTTAATCTGCAGTCTTGATTAGAGAAAACAAAAGTTGTATTTTACAATTGGTCAGGTTGTATGTTTACATTTTACTGAAGGACCTGGTAGGAGATATTGTGTCATGGTATTATATTTCACATTGTTATATATGTGTATTATTGCATGCAATTTTAATGTTAATTGTTGAAATCATTTTAACTTTTAACAGTGTTCTATTGAACACAACATCTTGTTCATTTAGGATTTTATTCTCTCTTTTGAGAAACATTTTTTATTATTTTTACAAAGGTGAAATTCAAACATAGATACATGTAATAAAAATCAGTGAAGAATTGATATTGTACCACAAAGAAAATAAACTTAGTGCTAACAATTTTTTACATTTGTAATGTGTTGAGACTTTTGTGTCCACAGAGTTAAGTTTATAAAAAGTGTCATCTCTATTGAGAATTAAAGTCCCTGAAATTTAGTTAACTGTGTGGTACAATATCATATTTATATAAGAACAGTGCTCTTAATTCATCGTTGAAGACTATGTTGATTCGAAATGTTATACACTTTACCCCCAGAGTGCATGCCATCTACAGTGCCAAAAGCCTTTCATCATGAACATATTAGTTTATTAGGTATCTGAAATGCTTTTAAAAAATGACCAAAAGAAACTGGTGTCTTATAAATAGTACTGATATTTAATCAATCAAAATACTAATTTATGTTAATATGGAGAAAAAAGTTGGGAGTAGTTCTATGATAATTTTATTAAATATCATCTCATGCTTCTATTACTAGTAGATGCCACTCTCCAACTTTGCTAACATTTTTAGATAGTGTATGCACACTCAAGTCAAGTATACATATGCAGCACAAACTTGCCAGTTTTATGGTTGTAGTAGCAAGGCTGTTAGTAATTCTTAGATTGAAGTTTCTCTAAATCTGAACTGTTGATGATAACGAAGACTTAGTTGCATAGTTAAAAGCAAAAATTTTTAGCGTTTGTTGATCATTAATGTTTGTAACTTTTTCAGTGAATAGGTTTTTTTTGGGGGGGGGGGGATTGGTTGGATTTTTAACTGTGTTGGGGCAATCACCAAATGCCTTTTTTAATTCATCAATGCGATGTACATATTGTGACCAAAGAATTTCAGTTTTAAATAGTTGTACCTTTTGAGAGAACTGGAAGTGTTTCTTTTCATTTTTTCAAGTTGGTGATGGTATCCTTAATTTGTAGAGTAGAATTTATTTAGTTGCTAAATGATTTATAATCAGATTTTTTGTGTTAGATTTCTTTATTTCATTTATTTTCTTATGTATGATCATGCATGCACCTTTTTTTCTTCTTTTTTTCCCCTTAATGGTAACAATCTGTGTATATTTAGTTACATTTCAAATCCATTACATTCCTCTGTTTGTATGAAACATTCTGTTGAATATCTTTTACCATATTTTAGTTAACATCAGTTGTACACCATCTCTTTTTTTTTTTTTTAAAAAAATGAGATTTTCACCCTTGGCTTGTCTCATATTAGTTGTGTTTCTTGTAGCTTATTGTCACTTTAATGTAGATTTTAAGTTCTTTTCATGTAGTTTGCCTTCAAACTGCATGAAGCAACTAGCTCAAATTTAACAGTAGTTTTGTTTATTTTTAGAGTTTTTTCTTTAAAAAGTGTTATTTTGAAGGTGAAAAATAATGTTGAGTTCACAAATGATTATAGAAATCTAATGGCAGTAAATTCATTTTTATGGCTATCACTTATAGTTACTTCCTGTACCATTGACTTTTTGTCTTTTAACATAGAAATAGTATCGTAATTATAAAACTCAGGATTTATTTTTTTCCTTGCCCAGCATGACTGTGATAAATGTATTTATAGCAGCCCTCAAATTTAGAGAGTTTGGACCAGAAAATCACTTCAAAGACTCTCCTTATTTTTTCCCCAAACAAAAGGGGCATGCCACAAAAAGACTAGTCTACCTACAAGATAAGGTTTTAATACAATGAAACATCACATATATACACAGGTAGTGCTTCTGATGTACATTTTTGTCGCATAACCTTAACATCTGCTAATGAAAATCTGTACAGAAATGACCACATAGACACAGGGCTGCCATTAAAAATACATATTTTTAGATTCTGTTTTTCATGGAAAAGTTAATTTCAATCATGATGTTAAAAATTATCAAGTTCAATTGTGATGGTAAAGGAGAAAACTCGACCATATTGTCCAGGAAGACTAATTGTGATTGTTGAGAACTTGTGACGAAAACTTAAAAAATTCTACATTTGACAGTACTCCTAGTGTGTGCATATAGCACTGTTTTATGTACTATTTTTCTCAGGTTTGTTATGATTTGTTGAGAGATGATTCAAGGCAAAGATTATAACTTTCGATTGCAAAGAGACAAATTTTGTTACGATTTGTTCCTTATAATCTGTTTTATGTAACATAACATTCCAATACATAAGAATTGTTATACATGTATCAACATTCCATTGTATCAATCAGAGCTTGAATAAATATAATAGTCATCTGTGTATAACTGTGTGTTAATTATTGGGATAAATTGAAAAAAAGGTCACAGTCTCAAGCTGTGTTTGTTATACCCCAAATATGCATTTATTACAATAATGTGGACACCATGTTAACTGTGCATGCTTTCAATAATTTGCTAATTACATGTACTACTGATTGAGAGAAGGAAAAATATTAATTGTTAGTTAACAATTTTTAAAATGTGTGTAATATCAATGGCAAGTTCTTGTGGAACCAGAGGTGTCCAGATTAGACAAGCTCTACTGTATTAATAACTATCTTGAGGACACAATTCAAAGAAGAATGTGTATTCTTTGGCCTTTCAATCTGACATGTACTAGTTGGGCAGTCAGTTGAACCTTACACATTCAGAGTCAAGGGCATGAATAAGCATGTCCAATTTTGTAGACACTGCAGTTTTAATAAGTTAACAATTTTACTTTAAAATTTTATTCTTGTTGGCAGAGAGATTGATGTACATACTATGTGGTATAAAGATTGGCAATTGATGATGGTTTATGGAGTGCCAAATTAATATAAACTCAAGTTTGAAAATATAAAGGAGATGGGTCAAGAAGGCATGTAGAATGCCTATAGCTTCAGATATATCTAAAAATCACATTCATTTTGTGAATTAAGTATCTAGAGTAAAAGTTTATTGAAATTTATGAGATTATGATAAACAAAACTTTTCTGTTGAAAATTTTCTTGGCAACAATTATTATGTAATTCAAAAATAATGTGGTACTAATGGGGTTTGAACATTAGCGGGAAAAATACCCAGTATCATTTTCCTTTGAGACTAACATGCTAACCACTATGCTACACAACTCTTGATGAATAATGAATATAAATCATGTTTCACTGTAATATGACCCTTGACTAAATGGACTTCAAAGTATTTCTCGGAAGTATATTTCGGAAAGATGTGAATGTTGTGTCATAAAAGTATTTTTAGGTCACCTGAGTCACTCAGGTGACCTATTGCTATCTGTTTTTGTCCGTCGTCGTCCATCGTGCGTTAACATTTGAACTTTTTCAGCTTCTTCTCTAAAACCGCTCAACCAATTTTGGCAAATAGCATCTGTGGGTGAAGGGGGACAAAAATTGTGAATATCATGGTCCCTGCCCCCCTGGGGCCTGAGGGGTGGGGCTAAAACCACCAAAATTAATGCAATCTTTAAAAATCTTCTTCTTTACTCCTGGACATCAAGCAGTCAAACTGTTGACATGATTGTAATAAGCACTGAGCCCTCTACCAAAATTGTGAAATTCATGGCCCCAGGGTCAGGGGTTCTGGTGCTAGGGCGGGGCTATATAGATCATATAGTGAAAGTGCATAATTTCTTTGAAAATCTTCTTCTCTACTCCTGGGTATTATTGAAACAAATCGAATACATAATTATGATAAGCAAGGGTGACTCTACCAAAATTGTGAAATTCATGGCCCCAGGGTCAGGGGTTCTGGTGCTAGGGTGGGGCTATATAGATCATATAGTGAAAGTGCATTATTTCTTTAAAAATCTTCTTCTCAACTCCTGGGTATTATTGAAACAAATTGAATACATAGTTATGATAAGCAAGGGTGACTCTACCAAAATTGTGAAATTCATGGCCCCAGGGTCAGGGGTTCTGGTGCTAGGGCGGGGTTATATAGATCATATAGTGAAAGTGCATTATTTCTTTGAAAATCTTCTTCTCTACTCCTGGGTGTTATTGAAACAAATTGAATACATAGTTATGATAAGCAAGGGTGACTCTACCAAAATTGTGAAATTCATGGCCCCAGGGTCAGGGGTTCTGGTGCTAGGGCGGGGCCATATAGATCATATAGTGAAGGTGAATTATTTCTTTAAAACTCTTCTTCTCTGCCCCTGGGTATTATTTAAACAAACTAAGTACATTGTTATGATATGCAAGGATGCCTCTTCCAAAATTGTGAAATTCATGGCCCCAGGGTCAAGGGTTCTGGTGAAAAGGGGGGGGGGCTCTTTTTATTATATAGTGAAAAAAGCAAAATTTCTCTGAAAATATTCTTTTCTGCTTCTGGTTAAAAAGCAAAGGACTTGGTGTATAGTTATGATGAGCAAGAGTGCTTCTTCCAGAGTAGTGAATTGCATGACCCCAGGGTCAGATGTGCTGGTGTAAGGGTGGGGCTCTTGATAATATAGTGAAAATGCATTAATTCTATTAAATAATCCTGTCTGCTCCTCAGTGTTAAGCAGATAAACAAAGTGATTACTTATGATGTGCAAACTTCTGGTCCCAGGGTGAGAGGCTCTGGTGTTTCTTGATGGGGGGGGGGGGGGGGGGGGCTCTATTGATAATATAGTGAATCTGTAGTAAAAATGCATTATTTCTTTAAAAATCTTCTCTGCACCTGGGTATATCGGAGGCAAAAAGAGTAAAAGTTTTAATAAGGAAGGGTATTTTTACCAGATATTTGAACATCTGGACCATTTAGTCAAGTGTTCTGGTCCTAGCTAGGGCACTATTAATTTGTAATCTACTGAGAGGAGTTATTCCCCTTTGCCATTTACTTTTGATAATTAATCACTGTAAATAATGTACTTGAAAGGTTAATAGAATAAGAGAATTATGCAAGAATTTTTATTGTATACTAGTAATACAAAATGTACTTTCATAGTTTTAATGATCAGGTAGACTTGTAAGTAATAGATAAATAAAAATGAGACTAATATAACTTGTCTTATTAAATGTACATCAAAGATCAAGAGAGGCCAATGTAAGAGATTTCAACAAGGAATTAAGATAGTACAGAAGCAGTGATAGTTTGTTAATTTACTGTATGGTGATAGTGTTAAATGGGGAACAGATTAGAACCTAATTTATGAACTGTTAATGAATGCTAGACTAATTATTTTTTTGATCCTGATCACTCTATTTTTCTTGCTTTTGGGCAACAAAGCTTCACCTTTCAGTTCATTTTATACTCTATGGATCCTCTAAATTGTTGTATTATACTCAGGTGACCGTTAAGGCCCTTGGGCCTCTTGTTTACGGTAAAGTGAGTCTTTGCTCCATGTTTTTGTTAACCAAATAAATGTATATTTTTACACAAACTGAGAGGATACACTTTCAAAACAAAGGAGTGCAAAGACTCATTCATATCAAAAAATGGTGTTATAGTATGAGAAAATGATCCTTTTTGCCCTATTTTGTGTGTGTATGCTATTTCATAGGCAAATAATTTCAATCTTTGTGAAATTTTTGCAAATTGTGGAGAATTAAATTAAGTATACTTTAATTTTAGATGAAATATCCAAGAAAATTTTGTTATAATTGAGATTTAATTTTTCACCTTCACGTTTATTGCACTATAGGCATTTCACTTGCCTTGTTCGTCCATCTTCTTTAATTTGAGCAAAAATTCAGATAAAGATCTCTTCAAATAATTAAAGATATCTTCAGTTCTTAATTATTGTGTGCTAATTTAATTGATGTTAGCATTAATTGATTTGCTGAATTTATGTATACAATAG